TCTTTTTTTCCAGATCCTCTTTTGTTGCCAGTTCAGGGAGTCCAGGTGGTTGAGTATCAGATTGTTCCATCTCATTTCCCTTTGGGGTTGCTTTAGGTGATCTGGAAGTCTGTTTTTGAGGCTTGTTTGTGTCTTCTCATTTCCATGGTGGTGGTGAGGGAGTGCTGCTGGCTCCCATGCGGCTCACCTCCTCTGCCCTGGGAGTGGTGGAATGGCAGCCTGGGAACCTCCTCCTGGTTTCTGGGATTGGCTCACCTCCTCTGCCCTGGGAGCAGTGGAATCAAGAAAGAGCCTTTTAAATTCTCTATTGTGATAATCACTCACCTTGCTGCTGGTGGTGGCAGACATTTAAGGACTATCTCTTAGCCATATCTCTGGGCTCAGACTATTGAAAGTTTGGTGCTCTCAGGGTTTTGTTGATAAATAGGATCATTTCTGAAGTCAACAGTAGCAAATTGGTTCTTTGTGGTGGCTAAGTGACACAGGCCTATGGAGTATGTGCCAAATTATTTGAATAATACTGGGCTGCTATAGCCATTCATCACTGCCATTTCCCTTTCCTTTTGCTTGCTTTTTGATAACTGAATGTCTGATGTAGTGACATTCACCTCTTGTATCTGATGTGGAGGGACAAGGCGTATGGCAGTGCCTGACTTCACACAGCGTGGAAAGGAGGCCTCTCCTGATACACTCCTTGGTGCTCACTCCACAGAGGATGGTGGGGCAGGGTGTGATGTAACCTAAGCAGATATACAAACCCAGCTGGAAATGAAGCACAAGACAAATTGGTAAGGACCTGGGAATGATTCATCAAAAGCCTTCAAGCCAGGCAGAGAATGAGAAGTCAGTGTGAGAGAATGATTTGTAGAGAAATCGAGGGACCATCAGAGCCAGGGCTTGACTCTTGGGATGGCAAGAGCAGGGGTATGCGTACTGCAGCACCTTGGCTTTCCCTGGTGAACCCTGGAGCTTTTGCTTCCAGGGATGTGGACCTTCTCACGGAAGGTCACAGAACTAACCTAGGCCTTGAACCACTGGCATTTTCATTTGAAAATCTCAACTAATAATTGGGAGCAACCTCTTAGCAAGAATGACTAAAAGGAATTTTTATCTGTAAAAGAGTCTTAATAATGGAATGCTGAATCCAATGATTTGATTGAAAACTGTCAAGGTCAACATAAGAAAAGACAAATTCATAACAAATAGAGACAAATGAAGGCTATGTTTTTTCTTCATGTACACAAATAGTAGATCTGGGTAAACTGAAGAAGGGTATACACAGTGAATTCAAGCTCTCTCTTCCTTCTGCCTTTCCTTTCTTGCCTCTCTCCCTTCTTTTTACATTTATTCTATCAGTTACTTTCTTGTATATGATCCATGTGCAATACTCTGAGTTCTTGGGGAATATGATACAAAAACAAACATAGTTTTTATCTTCAAAGAGTTCACAGTCTAGTGAATCCAGGAGCTGTCCCTGTTAAAGTTCTAATTAGCACCTTCAGACTTGAACTGAAATATGAGGTGATAAAAGACAATAACGAAGAGGTCCAAACTAAGAAGCAAGGACGAGAAAGCACTCTTTGCATTGGTGGTAGGTATCAAGATCCTAGATGGTGAAGGATTGTCTGGGTTACTGTAAGGACACAGAAGCAGGTCCATCTATAGACAAGTATAAATGTACTTAAAAGAAATACACAAACTCAGCTGAGATCCTAGAGATACTGAAACTAAGCTCCAGACCTCTGAAGACCAGAAACAAGTTTCTGTCACAACTAATCTGCTTTGCTTTGTACCAAGAAAGCAGCCATTGAGAATCTGGAAAAGAAGCACATGACAAATGACTGGGTCTGATCTGTTAGTGTTCCAATAAAACTTTATTTTTAAAAACAAGCATAGAGACATAGTTTGCTAAGCTCTGCTAAATGGGTCACATAGCCACATGTGGAATTAAATAGGCTGCACCTCATGGGTTACTCCTTTGCCCTAGACATACCAGTTGGAATAGTCCCTTACTCTCTGGTGGGGGCACTCTTCCAGTGGCTAGCCATATTGCATTTCAACTGAGACTACCTTGGGCCATGGCTGGAGGAAAGCAGGAACTGATAGGTGAAGCTGGAAAGGACAAGAGTTGTAGCTATGGAGTTTGGATCTGGAGTTTACTGAATCTGAAAATACCATTAAACCATGAGATTTATTTTTCTTTTAATTTGAAATTTGGAGGAATATTATGTAAGATGGATAGAATATTACATTTTCTTTTTTTCCCTTGATCAGAAATAGAAGCATTTATTTTCCACATTTATTTGATATAGGTCTTCAGGACCACCAGGTGTTTCCTTATCTAACCAAATATACTTCTAAAACATAAAGTAGTCTTTCTCCCCTATTTCAGCAAGGGAAATTTATCTGGGGTATGGAAAGATGGAGAGACTTTACTCTGATTCTGGTTGTATTTTCTCTGTAAGACTCTACAGCTCTTAAAAAACACACATATGTTCAGAGGAGAGCCACCAGGATCATTAAACTATTACATGATGATAATGTAGAAGAAAAAAAGAAAAGGACTTGGATTATTTGCCTATGTTGAGAAAAGACTGGTCTTACTTGGTAAATTTTTAAATGTACAGAGATAAAAGTGTAGCAGGAGAATACAAACTATTCCCTAGGACCTGTAAGGATTCTTATAATTTCTCTGCTGCTTCTTCTCAAATCTCTTCTTCTACACTCTTCCTCTTGGGCTCTATGTTTCAGTCAACTTCTTTTTGTAAGCAAATTTAAACTGTTCCTTCTGCTACTGATAATTCTTTCATAGTTGGCTCTTTTTGTCATTTAGGTCTTGTTATGCCAATGTTATCACTGTATGAGGACTTTCAGGTTACCCAGTCCCATACTTCACCCTCAGTCACAATCACACACCCTTTTTCATAATTTCCAGAGCTGTCACTGTTGGAAATGGCCTTATTCATTTGTTTATTATTAACTCTCTTCCTCCTCTCACAAGAAGGCACATTCCATAAGAGCATGCATCTTTGCCTGTTCTGTTGTCACTGATTCCTCAGTATTTAGAAGAATACTTATTCACAGTAGTTGCTCATTAAATGTTTCTGAGAAGAGTGAAGGAACTAAATAGGAAGGGTAGTTAGGTGAACAGGGATGATAATTACAATGAAGTTAATGATAGCAGTGCGTAAGATAAAGAATTTCTTTTATCAAGATTTACTGTTAACATGGTTTATCTCATTTTATATAAATTATTACTTATTTCTGATGAGAGCTGATAAATACTGACATAAATGCTGACAAAAGTAATATATCTTCTTTGTATTTTAAAAATATAATCTAGTATAATAAATTCTCCAGTGGCTAGGCTAGCATTATAATCTGAAGTCAAGAAAACCTGTCCTGTAATTCTGACTAAGCAAATATGAGTAGTGTCTTGATGCCTTCCAGTGGAGATTTTGTGATTGTCAGCTGTTCTTTGAATATTTCATTGTAGGATGATGACTTGGAAATTGACATGGAAAAGCTGAACTTCAGACCTGGTCTTGACCGACCTGAAGAGGAACTAAAGCAATATGAGGCCTTGTGTCATGAGCTCTCCTATGGCTTTGAGGTAGGACCTAGGCTGTGATTCTGCTCCTTGGTGAGGAGGCATGGTGGGTTCTTTGCTGAACCTGGGAGGCCAAACAGAGGTGTCTAGATGGAAAGCATTGTATTGTTAGTAGCATGCTTCTGGGATCCTTCTGAGGGAAAAGCAGAAAGCCAAGAAAAAAGGTGAGAAAAGTGGTCAATCTAGGATGCATTCAGGGGTCCTACAGTCTGACACGTAGGGTGTAATTAGAAGGCGGGTGCACATTACTACATATGGGCTGTTAGGCAAGGTCCCCTGCTCCATGAACTGAAAAGCAAGTGAAAATTTTGACAATTTGATCATTCTCTCACCCAAGTGGGAAAGTTATCATACATAAATTTCTAAAGTTGGTTCTCCTCATTTCAGGCTTTCTTTATTAGTAGAAATAGCCTGGGAACCTTAGACCCAGTGATGGTATTCCAGTGCCTAGTTGCTGCTTGCTGCTGTTGCTACTAACAAGATTTTAGACTTGCTTTTTGATCTCCATTATTTTCTCATGGCCCTTAAGAAGAAATGAGTTCAGTCATATCAAAGGGTAGCTAGTCATGTGTAGAAAGGAGTTGACAAGTATAGTAAAAGCTTCTGTGAAGGAAATTTTAGTTCAGTACAAGGAGGACTTAAAAAACAATTAGAATTATCATAAAGAATAGGAATATCTTAGGGCACAGTGAAGGGTAGGGGTTTCAATGAGGCCCTTGTAAATGTAGATTGAACCAAAGTGTAACTTAGTGAGGGGGGCAAGGGGGGTTTCAGAAAGCATGCATGAACTGTACAGAGTTGTACTAGACCCACCCAAATCCCCTTCCACACACAAGTTTGTGTGATTCTGCCATTAATTTGACTCTTGAAGGTTAGTTAATCTTTACTTGGATGATCATGCAAAAAACTGTCCAGTTCATAGGATTTATGTTTAGCTCTGTGTCCAGAGAGTGAGGACAGGGATCGAATTGTATTCTTTACCTGGAAGGAAACACTGACATATTCTTTTCCACTTTAAACCCAAAGGAACTGGAGTCCAAACTTGGAAATGATTTGAACTTTGAAGGCATTCAATCTGCCAATCACCACCACATTCCAACTGCTGCCTCCCCAAAGCAGCATTGCTTGAATAAGGACCAAAGCTTCCAGGGGAAAGAAAGAGAAGATACAATCCAGACTTCTCTTCTGAGCATGGTGAAGATGGAGAGGTCCACTGCATATCTGACCTCCAAAAAAAGACCTGGCATGAACACATACCACAATACACATCCCAATGGTCTTGGGATAGATGCTCTTGAAAATGGTATCTCTGATATGCAGGATTTTCTGGAAGAGGACATAGAAGCCATTTCTTGCCCAAAGATGAATGCCTCCTTTTCCAATCCTACGAGGCCCAGAGAAACTGTTGAAGTAATAGATAAGCTTCTGCACACACATCCCAAGCATATTCCCTTCCATGACCCTTATCTTTATACTGCCAAAGCCAGAAGAACCAGATCTGTGGTGGATTTCAAGATGATAGCATTTCCTGATTTCTGGGGACACTGTCCACCTCCCTTTTCCCAGTCCATGTTGGAACGCAAACGTGGAGTTCAAAGGTGACAGTGCAGATTTCAGAGCTACCAAAACTACAAACTTACCTCCCTCCTGAGACATTTAAGAATCAAGTGTGGGGTGGTGGTAGGCATTTGTTTTCCAACAAAGATTTCCTTGGATGATTCTGATATAACCCCTTGCCTCATATCCATTGCAAATCACAACAGGGAAAGATCATGTAGTTTTTACAAATACTGGGATCTTTCTTCAAAGGAAGGTTTTCAGAAGAAGCAGGAACTATTTGGGAATCTCTTGGTTGTGACAAATTTGTATCTGAATTTTTGATAACCGAGAGGAGGTGGTGTACTTCCATTCTACAGCCCCAATCTTACAGACCCTGGCTTGATTTACAGAATGGTTTTACTGCATCAGTAAGAAGGGGTCAAGAAAAATTAAACATTTTCTCCAGGGCAGAAATACTGAATGATAGGTTATTTCCAGAATGCAGGAAGGAAAGATCTTGTCTTTGACTCAGCTTAATGAGATTAAAAGGAAAACTAATAAAGCTAAGGAAAAAAGTGTTGCCTGAAGGAAAAAAATGGGTTGCATATACTAAGTCAATAGAACAAAGCATGGAGACCATAAAGTTTCATTAACTTATTCCATATCTTCAGAAAATTGCCCTGTCACTATCAGATACGAAGTCCCAGGAACTGCTCCAACATAGGCACTTGGCTGACATCTCTTTATTCATCCTCTGTACATGAACTACCATGCTCAGATTCCTGAGAAACATATAATACTTCAGAGGTTGTTCTAGCACAGATTTATCCCCACATAGAACATCCTTCCTCCCTGTCCAGGCTTCATATCCACTTCACCATCACCATTCTTCCATCCCACCCTCATGGGCTTGATCAGAAATTCAAGAAGGGTATTGACAGACCTCTTAAGAATCCTTCCTCTCTCTTGTTTAAGTCTCTCAGATATTGTTGTTCCTCAGACAGAAAACTGACCTCAGCCTTTTGGAGCAGATATAGCATAAGGAATATAAATGGAACAAGAGTAAAAAGGCTTATTAGAGCCTTCCAACCCTTCAAGATGCAAATAATCAATAGTCTTAATGTCTCTCTCAAAACTGCCTCAATGCAAAGGACTCTGATATTAATACTACTAGAAAGGTTATAGTACCCTAGCTCAAATGCTCTTGAAAAAACTCATCCAAGCCAGGAATCCTCTAACTAAAAATATAACATCTTTGGTTTCTCTATTTCTACTGCACAGTATAGTTTTATTTCTTAATCAAGAAGAGAAGGAGGAAGGACAATGTTGTTTAAACCCTCTGATCCCAAGATTGGGACATTGTTAAACTCTCAGTTTTGGTATTTCACTGATGACTTCCAAGGCCCTTTTCAGGATATCATAAGATGAGTATGAGGACAGTACTTAAAAGTGTTTCACAGAGAGTGAGGACAACACTTAAAATGTTTCCACTTTTCTTTTTCAGGATCAAGATAATCGAAGATGTCCGGAGGCTCATCCAGCCAAGTGATGTTATAAACAGAGTCGTCTTTAGTTTGGATGAGCCTTGGTAGGTGATGGCGTTCATCCATGCAGTGGGAGGCTTGGAGAATTCTGTCAATGGAACAAAGATGGGAGTGTTTCATCTTAGTAATCCATTCCTACACCTAAAAACAGCATGATGACCATTCAGATTAAAGATTTTTAAGAGAAAGCTTGTCTTTAAGAAAAGTCAAACTGTGTGCAAGAATAGCAATAAGACATGTTCACATGTTCTCTGTTTCATTGTAGGCCTTTGGAAGATACTGCTTCCAATTGCCTAAGGTTCTTCTCCAAGTTTGAGTCAGGAAATCTTCGGAAAGCCATCCAAGTGCATGAGTAAGTAAGGAAAACCACAGGAGGTAGCCCTGGGAGCTGTAGAAAGCAGGTTATGATAATCTCTTCCTCATTTTTTGTTCTGTGAACTCACATTGGTGGCTTGACATCAGCCACAAAGAGAATATATACATCAAGAAAATGGCAAGTGGTACCAATGGAGGCTTTCCCTCTCCAGTCAGTTAAGCATTTATCAGCATACCACTAGGGAACATAATGGCCCAGTCACAGCAAGGTGAACTGTTCACTAGAAGTATAAACACGGCTTATATTCCCACATTTAGATGTGAGTGCACTTTGACCGGGCCATTTATACTTCCACTGATGCCAAGGTTGGTGCTATTGACATAGTAGGTAGGGTACAGTGTTCCCTATTTTACCTCCCATGTCTGTTGATCCTATAGCTGTACACTGAGGTAAAAATAGTCTCAGAGCTTCCATCTTTAATTCCAGGGAATACTCAGTGCTGTGCCTCTTTGGAAAAACCTACCAATGAGTTCTTATTAATAAAAAAGGATTTCGTAGATAAGGAAAAACTAGTGACACACAAACTAAAAGGAAGGAGATAAGTTTTTCCAGTAGCAGAAGAGACTGCAGTTCTCATAAAGTTATACATAATTTGTTTACTTATAGCACAGTGAACTATATTTCCCATACACCAAAAGGCAAGATACACAACGCATCTTTTATAGGTGAACTTCTGATAACCACGCCCAGGACAGTTAATGGGGTAGTAGCCACCCCTTTGTAACCACAAGATTGAGCAAGGTGCCCAACTAACTCCATGCCTTTATTGTCTTACCCATAATATGAAGATAATCATAGCACCTACTTCATCGGTGTTTTATGAAAGTTAAATACCACATAGAAAGTTCTTAGAGTAGTATCTGGCACATAGTAAGCACTCAATCAATGTGAGGTCTACATATTTACCATGACTAGAGCTCAGAACTTTGTATAACTCTGACTTGTTTAATATCCACCCAAGGTGTCATTTTTGAAGTTTTCTTTTTTTGGGGAGGGTGAGAGGTGATTTTTTTTTTGTGTGTGTGCATGAAACCTTTCAAGGAAGCCCAGCATGTAAGACAGAGACAGACACAAATTGAACTTGTTGGGCTAAAGAAGGGAAAGGCAGTCATATCAAAATTCCATTTCATCCCGTTTCTCTTTCTGTTGTCAGTTCATCTTCTACTTCTTCCTATGGATCCTATTTTCATTATTCCTTCTCTTTAGAGTCATGTTCAAAGGATTTGGGAGACAATGCTTGATTAAAAGTCTTCTGCCCAGACACTTATCAGTCCAGGATATGCCTAAGCTGCTGGCCAGTTCACATGTCTTTCTCTCTAAATCTGCATTTGAACAGATAGCCTAAACTAATCAGGTATGGTCAGGGTAACAGAATCAAATGACAGAAAACAAAGCTATTTATTGTTAAAAAAACCTTTATAACCACTTTTTAGAAAGTGTACTGTGGCAATAGTTGATACTTTGAGGGTCACAGACTTTCCAGAATTATTCTTACAAGTGCTTCTCGGTGTGTTATGCTTTATTCATTGCACAGTGAGCTAAATGGTTAGAGTGTGGTCCTTATAGCCAAAGTGTGAAGGTCAGGACTCTGTCAATCAGCTCTATTCTCCTCTTGTCAGTCTTATACCAAGCCCTCTCTTTCCATAGTAAATGACCACATAGACTATAAAAGCTCATTTTTCAGGGCTTTTGAGTGGAGAGTGTTAATGGATTAGGGCAAAAACGTTGCCTTTTTTAGAAGAGCAATTCAAAGAGGATACCAAGAAGATGGGACAATAATATTTGAAAATGAGATTATCTGATAATAATATTTAAGACAAAACTGCCTTGAAAATTGTGTTGCTAGAGCCAGAAAATTAATTACCTTGGAAACATAGCAACTGAGAAGGGACAGACAAGAGCCTCTTGGGGTGCTGGAATTGTTCTCTACTAAATAGTGGTTACAAAGGTGCATCCAGATGCAAATAAATTAATTGAGTTATACATTTACAGTTTGTGCACTTACTGCACATAAGTTGTATCTCACTCAAAAAAAAAAATCAAAACCTACAAACCTTCCATTGCTAGTGTGGTTCATGTTTGTGGCTTTGTTAGGGGATTTATATCACTTATACTGTTTAATCTTTACAAACACAAGTTTAGGCGCTCCACTATACATGTGAGGAAACTGAGGCTCAAAAGTAATGTTCAGAATCAAACAGTAGTGGCATATTCAAACCAGATGTGATTGAACTATCTTGGGATATATCACACCTGCAATCTTCTAGCTGGAAGTTTGATGAAAAGATACCCTTCCATTGTGTCAGTGATTCTTCTAATACTAAGGCCACTCTCTCTTCCCAAATTTCCAAAGCCCGTGTCCAATATTATGAGATGAGAACAATAACTGTACTTTGTCATCCACTGGAGATCCTGCATCTTGGATCTGTAATCCAGAACTTGAGACCCATAGATTCTCATTTGCTCTAAAGTCTTTCCAGATAGCCCTCTTACTTGCTTCTGCCTTTGCAGGTTTGAGTATGACTTGCTGGTCAATGCTGATGTGAACAGTGCCCAGCACCAGCAGTGGTTCTACTTCAAAGTGAGCGGCATGAGGACTGCCATCCCCTACCGCTTCAACATCATCAACTGTGAGAAGCCCAACAGTCAGTTCAATTATGGTATGAACTCATGGGGATTAGGGGCTTTCTGAACAATTACAAGGTGTTATCACTTCTTGACTATCTTACTGTAAGAGTCCTTGCTTGGGATCCCAGAAAGTTTGAAGTTAGACTGACACATTTTGGTTCCACAGTGGCAAGAGAGTGGCCAACTCATACCATGCTGTGCTATGGTGGTGGTGGGGGAGGGAGCTGGGGACTCTCACTCTACCATAGAATGTTAATAGCACACATACCCTCCCACTATGTCCTCATTCCCTTGCTCCACCTCGAACTATTGAGCTTAGTGAGTGCTATCATTTTTTTTTTCTTTTCTCCATGTCTTAAATCTCACACAAGCAAATGTATTGACCAGTTTGTTACAAGATAGGAGAATAGTAAAATCCAACTGGACAACACTGCTTTACACTCTCAGAAAACTCCAGGGAAATTTTAAATTCTCCTCAATACTTGTGATCCATTTTGAAGGAGACATTCCAGAGATAAAGACCGACCAGCAGCCCATATTTACTTCGACTATTTCTATTCCTGGGAAATTCTTGTGTTATTGATAACTCATGTGATAATTTATTGGGTGGCTTTGAATAGGGAATAAGTATTCCCACATATCTAGGTCAGAGTACAAGATACTACCTCTATTTCATACTAAGTAAATTCTTGTTACAGTGGAAAGAGAAAATGTGAACCTTGATTTTTGTATTCACTTTATATGGCTTTGTTGTCACAAACTTGGTGATTTAAAACAAGACAAATTTATTCTTTTACACTGCTGGGGCTTAGCGGTCTAAATCAGTTTCACTGGGATGAAGTTAAGGTGTTAGCAGGGTTCTATTTCCTTGAGATTCCAGGGGAAAATCTATTTGTTTTTCTTTTCCAGTTGCTAGAGTGACATTCTTTGACTCCTGGTTCCTTCCTCCATCCTTGAAGCCAGCAATATAACATCTTCATATCTCTGTCTAACTCAGTCATGTGGCTTCTCCACAGTTCTCAGATCTCCCTTTGCCTTTCCTTTTTAAAGACGTGACTGCAATTGGGGCCAACAGGATAATCTCCTCATCTCAAAATACTAAGCTTAATCACACCTTCAAAGTCTTTTTGGCCATGTACAGTTGACCTTCACAGTTGCCAAGGATTAAGACTTGGATATCTTTGGGGACCATTATTTAGCCTATGACAACTCTCTTTCTGGTTTCTCTTTCCTTCATAGATTAAGTTCTGCTTTGATTTTATATAGGGATGCAACCAACCCTCTATTCCGTGAAGGAGGCCCTCTTTGGCAGATCCACCTGGATACGGACAGGCCATGACATCTGTTATTACAAGTAAGTTACAGCCTTGTTAGTTTCTTTTTCTCTGCCTCATTATTCCTATTCAATTTCTTGCTCTTCTGTATTAAGCATCAGCAATCTGTGTTTGTCCACCATACTTGTTACTCTATCCCAATGGCAAAAGTCTTCCCTTCAGAAGTATAAATGTTAATTGGGACTCACAGAAAACCCCAAGAAATCACTTTTGATTTGATGGAAAATGGCTTCCCTTCATTTATGCACATTAAAACTGTTAGACCTTGTTAAATATTCAAAGTTATATAGGCTCAAGCTCTGATTTATACATCAAGCCTTAATTTTTTACCAGTCTCCATTGGAAACAATGAACAAAAGGTCTGAGATTATCTGGTCTGTTCATATTCACCTGGGGTTCAGTTTTCTAAAGTAGAAGGGAGTGAATATGTGACAAATATACCTAAGTAACTCTTCTACAACAAGATAGTTTTATGGAAAAATTTAAGAAGGAAATGTTGCAATATCCATCTTCAGTCTTCATTTGATCAGTAGCCAATTTTATCAATTTATCCTGCAAATTTCTAATGAAATTTAAATTATCTATATTTTTATGAAACAAATAGATTCCAGAACCATGAATTGCTTATGTGTGCATTTTGCTTCGGTGGAAAATAAAATTCAAATACATAAGAAAAAGGATAGGAATTGTTAGAACAGGTAGAATACATGTAATTCATTATCAGCTCATTGCTAGTTTGCTATAAAAACTAATAGCCTAGTACTTATTTTCTTGGATAAAGTATCCTTATCTGTTTCTAAGATTACAAAAGTCCCCTAAAAAGCTATTATCAGACATTCCAGAATTTAGGATTGTTATCATTATCAAAAAGAAGGAGGGTATGCACACTTAATGCCTCTTGGCTTTTGAGACTGTGAGGATGGTATTGATAGGAAAGGTCAGGGATCTTGTTACTGGCTTAGATAAAAGCAGAAATCACCATAGAGATAATGACAGTCCATAGAACACAGAGCTGGGTTGACTAACAGTCTGTAATAAAAGAGTTGGCAGTCTTTAGTCTTTGATGCGTTAAGATATGAATTCTATCTTAATACTATTTTCATATATTCTTTAGTCAGAGCAAAATAGTACGATTTTGTGGGGTTTCCAGTCACCCAAATGGCAATTCTTCTCTGGCCCTCTTATCTCCAAACTGTTAGGGCTCTCTATATGGTCCAAAGAGATTTAGATTAAAAATTATCACAACATTGTAGAATTCACAATTTCAGGAAAAGAAACTATGCAACCCTAAACATGAACCTGGGTAAGTCAAGAATTTTAACTTTTTGTTTCCTCTGAAAATAGTTACTGTTATAAATGTGAAAGACCCAGCTTTAAATTCCACTTGGATCTGGAATTTAGTAAGAGATTAGACAAACATAGTATTTCACATCCTGTCCTGATAGTTCACAGCTTTCCCTGGAGGGTGCTCCTCTTGGAACTGGGGAATAAGGAGCGACCTCAAGGGGACTAGGTGTCAAGAGAAGGAAGAAACCACACATCCAAAAGCACAGCCCAGGCCTAAGGGAAGCCAATGTTAATAGCTTTTAGATTCATTAACAAGACAATTGTTATGTGATTAAAGAGCAACAGAGGGGTAAAATGAAAACCATGCATGTATAATGTAATTCATTTTTCATATTCCAGCAATGAATACAACTGAGATGAACTGATAAGATTTCTCCATTGTAATGCAGTTTGTTTTACAATACTTCACCACATTATATTAACATATTTCCATATAATATGATGTAAAAACAGGATAGATATGTGTAATCTCTATTCACCCACAAATCAGAACACCTCTTACTTACTATTATAAAATGGCTTTTATTATAAAATACCTTTCTTGCTATGTGCTTACTCATCACAATTATTGAGTTGGCTTTAGGCAGCTTCTTCACTTTATTCCTGGTTTTATATTAATTTGGGAGAACATTACCTCCTTATTTCCTTGTTCCCTATCTGCCAGCAGAAATTCAGAAGCTGTATTGCTATTATGCTGTTACAGTCCCAGGCTTAATGTTATAGGTTAAGGGAGTGATTGGGTGCTCACTGTGGGGAGAAATGTGAATCATGGTACCTGGGTATCAGTATGAAAGATGGCAGGAAAGATGACACTCAGAAGGAAAGGGATTGGAAGTTGACAGCAATGAGGAAGAATTGTAAAGGTGGGCTGATTACTTTGTGGGGCCAACTGTCATCAGTTAGAAGTAGTCCCCAAATTATTTTGATAGTGTGCCACTAGTTGTCAACAAGATACTGTCTGACTTACTATTATAGATTATTTTGTAAACTTTTAAAAATAAATGATTCCTCCATGACCATACTAAAATTATGTAGACTAGAAAACGTGCCCAAAATGAATTTTAAATGATGAAAAATATGAAACAAATAATAGTTTTTGATAGCTCAGGCCACACTATGCCTTTTCAGTGGAGTTCACCATTAAAAATATAGTTATAATGAGTTTTGTGGATAATTTTGAAAAGCTATAGTGAACATCCCGGGTCTAATTAGATTATTTTTACACAAGTGAGTGTTACTGAGAAAAAGCTGGTACTGAAGGTAGGGTACAGGAAGGTACAGCATAGTATTCTCTTTTCTTGGTCATTTGTGCTTATAATTTAATATCCTTATTAATTGATGGCTTCTAAGTAGAATGTTAAAAACACTATCTATATTAAGAGGTTTAGTTTAATTTAATTTTGCTATGAATCCAGCAAAATAAGCTTCTGTAAACTTAAGTACCTTGACAGAAGCTAAATACAAAAGAAGGAAGAAGGGATAAGTTATTCCTGGTCCCCCTAATTAAACCTCCTCTGCATTCATTGAAACTTAACTATCTGACATATGAAAATAGTTGATGCATTTTTTTTTTTTTTTTTTTTGGTACCAGGGATTGAACTCAGGTCCTTGTGATTGCAAGGCAGGTGGCGTAACCACTGAGCTAAATCCCCGGCCCTAGTTGAAGCATTATTTAATGCATTTTCATAATCCATCCCTGGAATACAGCAGGGAAGAATGGATACAACCGCTGCCCTGTAATCGTGCTTGTTTTGTCATTATTCATCCTGTAAGGTTGATGTGGATTGCATAAAGGCAGTTGTGTTAATCTTAATATTAAATGTGACAATTTAGTTTTTTCTTATTACCTAGATAATTAAAAATGTAAGAGGAAATGCAAATGTTTTCTCCCTGTGCATAACTGACATCCTGCCCCCCTCCTGGAGGATCTCCTACTCCTTCTCTCCTGCCCACATCTTCCACTCAGCTTGAAGACCACTTGGCTAGAAAATAAAAAGCGACCCTCAAATGGAAGAACATAAATGAACAGGCCCATTTTTCCATGCCTTTTATAAAACTAAGCAAGGGCAGATTCTGTTTCTGTTTCATTTGCTTTCCCACTGCCTGCTTCTTCTCCCTCTAACAGACACAGCCTCACACCTTTTTGAATTCTTCCTGGCTCTGATGTAAATTTGGTGATGAAGGGCAGAGGGAGGGAGCCGCACACTCTGAGTGGCCATGTAATACACAGCGGCTGATCTCTTCTGACATTTATCTCTGCTTGTGAGAGGAGATGGAACAGCTCACTCATGAAGATGAATGTCATACAAGAGCTCGGCCATCATGCATCCTTCCGCGAGATCTCAGGAGAGAGATTTGGTGCTGTATAGAATATTAGATGCTGTGACGCAGGGAAACCTGGTGATGCCAGCGCTGCCCTCCCTTATTAGATCTTGTTAAGTGAAATGATGTTAAACAGGTCGTCATCATTGCAAGATTCTCTAATTCACTCTCTGCCTTGGCATTTGCTAATTTCAGGAACACACAGGAAAAAAATGACTCCTCAGCATATTTTAAGGTACAAATGGTAATAGATTGAGTTCATAACTATGTGTTTGTGTACTTTGCTCCTTGCTTCATTGAAGACTTTATGAGCACAAAAGGGCAGATCTTTCCAAAGATAAATGGTTCACAGAAGGGGAACCCATAGGGAACTTCTTAACTGTGGAGCGGCTGGCTCTATCCACCCAGCTTGTCTGTGATCTAAGATGAGTTATTCAGCTTCCAGCCAATCTGAAAGCATACTTTTTTTTTTTTTTTGGCCAATTTTTTTTTTTCATATGGAGAAGTAGATTGAGAAGTGAAAGTTTTTGGAAACAAATTTCCACTAGTCATTCACAGCATGACTTTGGGCAAATCATTCCATCTCCTCTCATCCTTAGATTCTCTGTCTGTAAAATGGACACAGTAATGATGAGTTTACCTAACAGAGCTCTTCTGAAGATCAAATGATAGGAGATGAATCATTGGAAAGCTCAGAATAGTGACTGTGTGTAGCAGGTATTCAATAAATGCTAATGATTATAATTGATAATTAGTAGAAACATCTTAGTGACATTACCAATGATAGAAAGAATAGTAGTCTATCAATTTCACTATCTCTTATTTGAATTATTTCACATTTCTTCTGTTATTTTAGAATCTAAATTTATAGGTAGTCTTGACTTATGAAGACCAAAACTTCAGTTTCTTAGATGCTGAAGTGGGCCAAAAGATTTCTTGTCTTTTGATCCCATTTCTAAAAGGCAGGTGATATGATGAAAAAAAATCTTAATTTCAGAGCTTACCTCATACCCGGGATTGAATCCAGTTTACTATACTTGTGTGAAATTGTTCATGGCACTTAATATTGAGACTTATAATGTTCTTGTCTGTAGAACATGTATAACAATACTGTACTTACCTCGAAAGGATGTCATAAAGATTAGATGTAAAATATGGTAAATATCCTAATTATTATTCTTGGAGTCTTAAATGTGTTTATTCTACAAGCTTTAACTGAATGCTGTTATGTCCAGGCAAGATACAAAAATGCCTAGCATAACAATACACAAATGAATAACCATGATCCTTGCTATAAAGTGTTGGCAGCAAGGGAAACACATAGGTGATAAGAGCTATGTGAAAAGGGAAT